GAAATTATTATTTGAAAAAAAAATAGACCAATTCAACCAAGGTAAGGTAAGTTTTTATGGCACAATTAATCCATGTAAGGAAACAAAACAAGAAGGGAGAAATATGTATACTCGCCACATTCAAGGGTGGAATTACACTGATCATCTAAGTTCATTTATTTCTGTACATTTCAATTATTTCTTTTTCATTTATTTTCCTACAGAGCCAACAGATCTGTAGACGATGCCAAAAACCTGGCCCTCCACTACATCCTGCAACACCTAGACTCCCCTACGCCAGGGAACTGTTTATGGACTTCAGCTCTGCTTTCAACACCATCCTGTCATCCCAACTCCAAGGAAAAGCTCTCCCAGCTCAATGTACCCCATTCCACCTGCAGGTGAATCACTGACATCCTGACGGACAGGAAACAGCGTGTCCGTCTGGGGAAAAATGTCTCGGACTCTTGGAATATATATACCGGATTCCCACAGGGCTGTGTTCTTTCTCCTCTGCTCTTCTCCCAGAACAACAACCTCATTCTCATTGGACTCATCTCTGACAACAATGAGTCCGCCTACAGAAGGGAGGTGGACCGGCTGGTAGCAACCTGGAACTGAACGCCCAGAAGACAGTGGAGAAGATTGTGGACTTAAGGAAGAGCAAAGTTATCCCGCCTCCGTCCTCCCTGCAGGATTCCCTCATCACATCTGTGGAGTCTTTTCATTTCCTGGGCACCACCATCACCCAAGACCTCAAGTGGGAGCCGACTATCAGCTCCCTCATCAAGAAGGCCCAGCAGAGGATGTACTTCCAGCAGCAGCTCAGGAAAGCTAAGCTGCTTGCACAGATGTGGAGGTTCGCTGGAGCCACTGTCAGGGACAAGCAGAGACTACAGCGCATCGTGCACTCTCATGAAAGGGTGATCGGCCACAGCCTCCCATCACTGCTGGACCTGTATGACGCTCGAGCTCGAGGGCGGGCTGGTTGTATCACTGCTGACCCTCTCACCCTGCACATGGATTGTTCCAACCTCTCCCCTTCGGGGCTTTGGTCCATTTGCCATAAGTACAGTTTCTTTATTCTTAACCTTGACTTTGTAAAGGGCAGGGGGGCCCTTTATAAAGTCACTTTACTGCCGTCAACTTACTGCACTCCTTAATGTCTATTGTGTGCACCGAGTGTGTTCTAGTATCTACTTTTGACATGACTTACATGGCAATAAAAATTATTCTGATACTGATGTCGGAACACAACGCTTTAATACTGCTCCTGAATATGATGTCTCTATTATAAGCAACACAGTGCCATTTTAAAGCCACGTTTGAACCTAGAGTGTAGCAGGGTTGAGAGAGTACAACCCATCTGCTTTACAGACACATAATTCAAGGCACGTTCTTGTACCGCTAGCAGACGGTGAATGAAAAAACAAGCCCCGTTCTCCCTCTCTTTCTCACATTTGTCACTTCTTTACACCGTCAGAGCTCTTCAGTTTGTCTAACACTGTATATATATATTAGCTTTTCAATTACTGTAGTAGACATGTCAGCTCCCAAAACAGGTGTATAGTTACTAACTCGTTTGCATCTGTGTGATCTCTTGCTTGGGTGATGGAAAGCTGGGAATGTACAAAAATGGAGGGAGAGGAGGTAGTTGCCATTAGAGATGATAAAGTTGATATTTTTTTTTTACTTCTTATACTTTTGTATCCGTCTTGTTGTTCCTTGTGCTTTATAATGGAGTCATGTGCATCAATGGCTATATCAAAAACTTTTTTAAAATATCATGGCAGGTTTTTAGTTTAACCTGCTCCCATCTGTGTGTGGAGTGAGTGGACAAATGCCCAAAAAATAACAATTGTAAACCGCTTTGTGACTCTGGTCTGTGAAAGGCGGTATATACGTAAATAAAGATTACTTACTTAGTCAGTTCCTCAAAAGTCCTTAAAATGAGAAAGAATGGCAAAAAAGGATAAAAAAATAAAAAATGTCTAGCTGATTCTGAATGGGTATTTCCAGAGCTGCTTGCATGCAGACCTCCGGGCATACTAGGAGCAATTATGGTGTTGGTTGCTAAGGGTAACTAGATTTGTGTTGAGAAGTAAGCATTATAAATTAGGCATATTAGATGCAATCAAAATAGTGTTAATTAAACAATAATATCTTGATTAAATTGCATTTTAATGGATTTGTGCTAAATTATGCCAATGGAGCGCTATGCCAGTCTTAGATCACGTTTTCTCATTTACAGAAGAAATGTGTGTTCTGATTGTAATTCATCATCATTTGATGTTAGGGTTGCCTATTGAAGTCAGGGTCAAGACCCTAATCCAAACTGCTCTTAAATTGTTGGCTTGTAAGATGTAAGATGGACAAGTACCATAGGCAAAGAATCAATGAAACAAGGAATACCAGCTTGGATACTTAGCAGTAAGTCTTTATGTGGATAATGGATACAGGAACCAGGTATGACCCCCCCCTTTAAATTTGTTTGCCATCACATTGATAGGGCTGGGTCAACATTATAAAACATAACATTTTACAAATAGTTTCATATTGTAAGTTGAATTACAGAAGTAAATTTAAATTTTCTGAGTTAAAGATCATTTCAATGGAGAGATAACCCACTTTTGCAAGTAATAAATGTTGTCAAAACCCACATGATTTCTGTTTAAGTACCAGAGTATATCCTTTGTTTTATTTTGATTAGGCTCACTTAGCACCTCAACAAATGCATCTTCATTAGCACAGCTTTCACGTAAACCAGCGGCCCTCTTTAGCTCGCGTCTGGATCACAGGCTCAGCAAAGTAGAAGCAATTACAGTACAAATGGCTTGAATTCAAACGACAGGGGTGGGTGTCCTCGCCGCTAGGAGGGAGCTGTGCACAGATTGATATTATAACACAGAGATGGGCTCCATTTGAAACTAAATGAATCTCAAATCAAAATCAAATCAATTTGCTCTCAAGTAGACAATCAGGTGGAGGGGGAGAGAGAGAAAGGGTTGCCATAATCATATTTCTGCAGCTTGTACCACTTCATTCAGGGCCAGCCTATTCTGACAATCTCTCGGTCGTCACCTGAATCTGGTTTTATCTGGAAGGGCAATTTGTTTTTCAGTAAAGGTCAGACACAGTCCATTAGCATATTATTTAATTTGAGAAGCAACTGTCTGTCAATAGCTGATGCCACAAACAAGTCAAAAATGCATTTATAATATCCATCCATCCATCCATCCATTCTCTTCCGCTTTATCCATTGCCGGGTCGCGGGGGCAGCAGTCTAAGCAGAGACGCCCAGACTTCCTATCCACACACACTTCCTCCAGCTCGTCCGGGGGCCCCCAAGGCTGGGAGACATAGTCCCTCCAGCGTGTCCTAGGTCTTCCCCGGGGGCCTCCTCACGGTGGAACGTGCCCGGAACACCTCCCCAGGGAGGCGTCCAGGAGGCATCCGGAACAGATGCCCGAGCCACCTCAACTGGTTCCTCTTGACGTGGAGAAGCAGCGGCTCTACTCCGAGCTCCTTCCGTGTGACTGAGCTCCTCACCCTATCTCTAAGGGAGCGCACAGTCACTCTGCGGAGGAAGCTCATTTCGACTGCTTGTATCCGCAATCTCGTTCTTTCGGTCATGACCCAAAGCTCATGACCATAGGTGAGGGAGGGAACATTTATTATGCATTTATAATAGTATATACAAAATGTTAAAAAAAGGGAAATTTATTACTAAGCAATGTGATAATGTGGCTGACACTGCTAAAGCCCTAAAGCCTTTGTGGTTGAATAAGGATTTGGATGATCCTTCAAAGATAAGATGAGATACACTTTAATGATCTCACAATGAAGAAATTTAGAAAGTGCAGTGTTAATCTTTGGTGCAGCTTTTTAAAGTACCCTCGCCAAACTCACCATACTCACTCTCAAAATAATATTCAAAATAGTCAAAACAAGACAATTACGTACTAGTACTAAGTAAGTATTGCCAAACATAATTTAAAAGGGGAAAAAGAAAGAAAAAAAGAACATACGAAACCAAGTTATCAAAGTACCATTTAGTGATCTCAATGTAAACTCTGCATTTAGCCTTCAAAAAGAGTGTCGTTCCATAGTGAAATAGTGCTTGATTAGAAAACTACACATAATTTCTGACAATTTCACATACCATTTTAAAGATACCTTAGTTCAGTAGTCAGTACTCTTAGCTGTTTACCAAACGAGGTACGCAATCAGAATCATTTTTATTGCCACGTAAGTAACAGGAAGTCACAGACTTGGAAATTGCTTTGCTCAGTGCAACAGTCAGAAAGAGAAGTAAGGAGTAGATAAGGCATAATAAAAAAATAAAAAAACAAAAAAAATACACTTCTAAGGAATACAATTTAAAATAGAATTATTAAAATTACAATTACTATATACAATATACAAGTTCACATGGTGCACACAATATAAGGTGAAAGCAGTAAAGTGACGTTATGATGGGCAGTAAAGTGACGCTGCAATGTGAACGCGATTCAATCACTGTATCAATGAAGGATTTCCAAAAGGTTCTATCAATTCTAAAATAACACTGATCAAGGTTACGTGTCTTTTTTTAGGAATTTAATGATAATAAACACTATTTTGAGCTATTTTACAACACAATTTTGTTTAATACATATTGAAATCATACTGCGTGATGAATATCAATAGTGTATTGTACTGTGTGTACGGTTTATGGCTGGTGCTATGAGACTTGGGTGGCATCTCTGACTGCCACCCCCCTGACCCAGAAATGGATTAAAGGGTAGAAAATGGATGGATGGATGGATATTGTACTGTGTGATTTGGACATGGTTACATCCCTAGTCTCAAAACATTGATCCAACATGAAAAAAAACAAAAACAACACAAGACAATTCTCACTCATATCGGCAAAGCAGTAGACATTTTCCAAATCTATCAATGACATTTTAGTGACCTTTGGACTTTAGACCTTATAATCTGCGGTTAATAAATTAGAGACCACCTGAACTGTGCTGATGTCACTGTGAAGCCATCGTCTCCCGCAGTGAGCGCTCTGCCGTCCTGCTGGGCCGCATATGTCTTCTCCGCAAGTGAGAACGTAGTAACAGCTTGATACTGGTCAACAGCCCAGATTCACTTAATATTCATCTATTTAAAAATAAATTAGATAGTAGCATGACTATTCTTAAGATTTTTTTTTAGGATAAAGAAATGTGAAAAATTGGTTCAGAGGAGAAAAAGAACCTAAATTTAGGAGTGGATTACAAAAAGGTTGCAAAATGTTTTTGTTGACCAAGTCCAAGTATTGGGATTCCCGCAGATAAACAGCGTGTGGGCACCATAGCAATAGTCGGAATATGTCACTGCACTTTTGGAGGGCTTTTATGAGGTTTTGAGAAAAAAAGTCATATTGGATCAAGGAAGCTGCCATGATAACAGAGACAGTGATACGGGGTTTCAAATACATTGAATTACTATTAATTAATTGCATTGAACTATTAAAGGGGTAGAAATTAATAAATGAAATAATTATGTATATTTCTAAAGCTTCTCAAGCAAATGTCAAACCAAAAGAACAATGTGGTAGAGAAAAAAACAGGCTCATGTACGTTCTTTCGGGTTTATAAATTCAAACCATTTGCATGATCCAAAATAAAGTATAAATAATAGATGCAACTTGAGATTGAAAGTAACAAAACATAATATCTTCTACAGAGGTGCAAGTGAGTGCATCAGGGGATCAGGGGATCAAACCTGGTGACATGGTGCTCTCCAAGAACTAGTAGGCCAAATAACATTGAAAGAGAAAAGAGAAACATGGTTCATAGAATCAGAATCATCAGAATCAGAATCATTTTTATTGCCAACGTAAGTAACGGGAGGTCACAGACTTGGAAATTGCTTTGGCTCAGTGCAACAGTCAAAAAGAGATAATAAAAATAAGAATAAAAAACACTTCTAAAGAATAAATTTAAATTTAAAATAGAGTTACAGTTACTATTTACAATATACAAGTGCACATGGTGCACACAATGTAAGGTGACAGCAGTACAGTGAAGTAAAGTGACGTATGATGGGCAGTAAAGTGACTTTATAAAGGGCGGGGGGACAGGTTAAGAAGTGTTCAAGAGTCCAACAGCAGAGGGGAAGAAACTGTTCTTGTGGCGGGAGGTTCTAGTCCTGATGGACCGCAGCCTCCTGCCTGAGGGGAGTGGTTGGAATAGTCCATGTGCAGGGTGAGAGGGGTCGGCTGTGATACGACCAGCCCGGCCTCGAGCTCGGGCGACGTACAGGTCCTGCAGCGATGGAAGGCTGCGGCCGATCACTTCCTCTGCAGAGCGCACAATGCGCTGTAGTCTCTGTTTGTCCCTGACTGTGGCTCCAGCGAACCACACGGTGATGGAGGAGGTGAGGATGGACTCGATGATGGCCGTGTAGAACTGCACCAACATCTGTGCAGGCAGCTTGGCTTTCCTGAGCTGCCGCAGGAAGTACATCCTCTGCTGGGCCTTCTTGATGAGGGAGCTGATGGTCGGCTCCCACTTGAGGTCCTGGGTGATGGTGGTGCCCAGGAAACGGAAGGACTCCACAGAGGTGATGGGGGAGTCCATCACGGAGGGTGGGGGCGGGGGGACAGTGCTCTTCCTGAAGTCCACAATCATCTCCACTGTCTTCTGGGCGTTCAGCTCCAGGTTGTTACCACTGCACCAGGACACCAGCCGGTCCACCTCCCTCCTGTAGGCGGACTCATCGTTGTTGGAGATGAGTCCAATGAGGGTGGTGTCGTCCGCGAACTTGATCAGCTTCACGGAGTCGTGGCTGGAGGTGCAGTGGTTGGTGTACAGGGAGAAGAGCAGGGGAGAAAGAACACAGCCCTGTGGGGCTCCTGTATTTATAATCCGAGAGTCCGAGACATTCTTCCCCAGACGCACTCGCTGCTTCCTGTCCGTCAGGAAGTCAGTGATCCACCTGCAGGTGGAATCGGGCACGTTGAGCTGGGAGAGCTTGTCCTGGAGCAGGGATGGCAGGATTGTGTTGAAGGCAGAGCTGAAGTCCACGAACAGGACCCTGGCGTAGGTCCCCGGGGAGTCCAGGTGCTGTAGGATGTGGTGGAGGGCCAGGTTAATGGCGTCGTCTACAGATCTGTTGGCTCTGTAGGCGAACTGCAGGGGGTCCAGGAGGGGGGAGGTGAGGGACTTGAGATGGGAGAGAACCAGGCGTTCAAATGACTTCATGACGACAGACGTAAGTGCTACAGGTCTGTAGTCATTGAGTCCTGTGATCCTGGGCTTCTTCGGGACGGGGACAATGATGGAGGATTTGAAGCAGGCCGGGACATGGCAGGACTGCAGAGAGGAGTTGAAAATGTCCGTGAACACAGGAGTAAGCTCACTGGCGCAGTGTCTCAGAGTGGCCGGAGACACGTGGTCCGGGCCAGGAGCTTTGCGGGGGTGCAGCCTCAGGAAGAGTTGTTTAATCTCTTTAGCGGCTATTGTTAGGCTGGGGGCAGGGCTGATGGGTGGGTCGTTAGAGTAGTGGGGGGTGGGGGAGGGAGAGGTGTCAGGGGCAGCATCAAAGCGACTGAAAAATAAGTTCAGATCGTCAGCTAGCTTGTGGTCATCAGCACAGGGGGGGGCTTTGGGTTTGTAGTTGGTGATCTCCCGTAGGCCCCTCCAGACAGAAGCAGTATCGTTGTTACCAAACTGCTCCTGTAGTCGTTCTCTGTGCCGGGACTTGGCTGCTTTCAGTTCTTTCCTGAACTGATATTTAGCTGCTTTGTAGCCGCTGCGGTCCCCCTCCCTGAAAGCAGACTCCTTTGCTTTCCTGAGCTGCCGGAGTTTAGCAGTGAACCAGGGTTTGTCGTTGTTATAGATGACCCTGGTCCTTGTTGGAATGATGCTATCCTCACAGAAGTGGATGTATGACGTCACAGTGTCCGTATATTCATCCAAGCTGTCTGTGGCAGCTCTGAAAAGGTCCCAGTCTGTAGATTCCATGCATGCGCGCAGCTCTTCCACAGCTTCATCAGACCACACTTTGGAGCTCCTCACTGCAGGTTTCGAGAGCTTTAGTCTCTGTCTGTAAGCAGGAACCAGATGTATCATGGAGTGATCTGAGAAGCCGAGGGCTGGCTTGGGAACAGCGCGAAAAGCTCCGCGCACGGTGGTGTAACAGTGATCCAGAGTGTTCTCCTCTCTGGTCGGGCATTTGATAAACTGTCTGTATTTGGGTAATTCCTGGCTCAAGTTTCCCTTATTAAAATCCCCCAGGATAATAATCAGAGAGTCCGGGTATAAGCGTTCCATACACAGTACTTGCTCTGCGAGTGCGCGCTGAGCCTCGCGCGCGTCCGCGCATGGCGGTATGTAAACAGAGGCAAGAATGAATGAAACAATTTCCCGCGGGGAGTAATATGGATTACAATGAATGAAAAGATATTCCAGAGCAGGAGAGCAGTGCTTGGAGATCACTGTCACATCGTTACACCAGTTTGTATTGACGTAGAAACAGAGCCCTCCGCCTCTGCTCTTCCCTGAGAGCGCACAATGGCGATCCGCGCGAAACAGCCCAAAGCCCTGCAGCTCCAGAGCGCAGTCCGGGATCCGCTCATTTAGCCAGGTCTCAGTGAAGCAGAGGACACAGGATGTGGCGAAGTCCTTGTTTCTTCTCATGAGCAGGCTGAGTTCGTCCATCTTATTGCCCAGTGAGCGTACGTTGGACAGAAAAATGCCGGGGAGAGCCGTGCGCGCTCCTCTCCTCCTAAGACGCACGAGCAGGCCTCCTCGCTTTCCCCTTTTACGGGCCCACACTTTTTTGGCTAGAACATGAAGCCATGTTTATTAAAACAAAACATAAATCTGCTGGGCGTGAAGATAGAAATTCATGAAAATATTTCATGATGATTCCCACAGTTTAGTGATATTAAACACTGCATGTATTACAGTATAAATTACCCAGTTTCAGAATAGATGGGAGATGTGTCTATCCATGACAGAGTATGAAATTAGAGGCAGTCCTTCTAGAAAGTTTTGGGTCTTCCTGGGGTCTGTGTGTTCCATATCAGATAGAAAGCTTAAGTAAGGTAAGGTATACTTTATTGTCCTCGTGTGGAAATTTGTTTTCTGCATTTGACCAATACTGAATGGCAACCTTTCAGGTGCTAGGGCCCATGTTGACGCTCTTGGCCAGGAATACCAAAGCTGGACAATTTTATCTTTTGTACATGTTTTTTTCATGTAGAGGAAATCTATCCAGACACAGGGAGAACATGCATACTCCACTTAGAGAGGCCCTGTTCCGACGAGATCTAAACCCAGGACCTAACCACTCAGCCATCCTGCCACCCTTAAAAATACTATGCTTGGCCACACTACTTTGTCATTGCACGCTTATCTGCTTTACAAACATCATGCAATGGTACATTCATAACTCCAATCATATCTGAAATCAATTCACTCTGACCTATTTTCCAGCATAAGATCATTAGCCCTGTTCATTCTTTCATTATGCCAGCATGCTTCTCAACATGGGCTTCCCGCATGAGGCCCACTCTCCCGAACATCCAATTATGTGATACAAGGACAAGAAAATGTCACCTGCCGCATGTTTCGTAATTTCACATTCATAACGTAGGATATGGAAAAGCTAATATGAAAGCACAAACAAACAAAGTGATTTCAACAAAATCTTAAGGCTCTAAAATTGAGCCCTTTTCTACGGTTGAATGAACTGAAAGAAAATTGGGTCGGCCTGTCTGTACTACTTGAAGGAACATTGAGCCAAGTGCCCTACTTTGTGTTCTTTGGACACTTTGAGGGCACGGCGTCGACAAACGAACTCCCCCTTTCCCAATGTGACATATTATTGGTTTTAACTTAACTACGTCGTATCCTCTTTTCATTCTTCCTCTTCAATTACTCATCCAAGTAATTCCCCCTTACGAAATGGCTTTATGTCTAAATTAATTGCCCCAAAAGTAATCAGGAAACGTTGTTTCCTGTGTTTTTTTTTTTTTTTTAAAGCCAATTTTCTGTTCCATAATGTGAAACGGCAAAAATGATAAGTGCATATCAAAGGCTGAGCAGATAGCGCCTCATTGCTCCGTTCTTCACACATTTAAATGAGAGCTTCGCGGCTGCAAAGGGGAGCCGTAAAAGCCACAGTGATTGGAATGCAAGGGAATGCCAGTGTAATCCTCTACAAAATGCCATTAAGGCTAATTCCATATGATCGATTATGGGAAAAGCTGAAAGCATTACTTATGTATATGTCGCTTGTATGTATGCATGTCACAGGCTGCAATCAAAAGGGTGAAAGGGGCCTTTTATCTAGCATTTACGGATTCTTAGCATGTGTGGGAAGCCTCTGATGGTAGTTTGATGAATGCTATAGAAGCAAAGTGGAGTGATGAGTTGCCAAAGCACATGGTGGGTATGTGTGTATATGATATTTTTTCTCGTCTGGTGTAGGGGACTCCATTATTTCATGTTGATTCTTTGCGGGATTCCTTTTGTTGTGTGTTAGGCCCTTTGCATACACAGAAAAAAACAGCCTATTTAGTTAACTTGGTGAACTACTATAAAACAGGGCTGTGACAAGTTAACAGATATATCACAACTGATCGGTTACTTGTTCTTTGAACCTTACAAAGACTTAAAAATGAGATGATGTTTTATGACACAGTGGCAACAAGGCTTCTGCTAGCATGCATACCACAAGCTGTTTGCACAAAGTTTGTGGATAATAAAGAAGCTTTCACTTTGAGAAAAGACCTACTGGTAATACATTTGGCCACAAGATAAACAGGACACTGAGGTTTGCAAGGACATGGAACATCATTCTCCAAAAAGGTGAGTAAACAAGTATAAAAGTTGCTTTTGATTTCCTGGGATTGAGTCTCATGTATTGTCCTTCTGCTTTTGATACTGGGCTAATTAAGCTATGAAACATTCACACAATTACTATATTTTTTGACATCATAGCAGCTCAAACACATGCACCCACATTTTATTTGTGAGTTTGGAATAAATGATTCAGTAAAAAAATACACACAAAAAAAAACACTTGAGTTGCAGATTAAGTGTGATGTCAGTGTAATCAGCATTTAATTATTTTTGCTAATACAATAAAAAAAACTGCAAAAAAAGAATCGAACTGACCCACAACAAATATGTATCAAATTATTGTGACTTCAATCAATGATGTGACTTCAGTGTAATGTTGCAGTCTTAATATTTACTGACTTCTTGAAACTAATGAACAGGAAGCTTATTCCTTACTTTCTCACACGTTCATTACATCCTAAATATTGCCCACAAAGAGGTTAGAAGCAATGAAGCTATAGAAAGAGTTAACTCCATCAATATTGATTTCCTCTTCTAACTCTCTATTGTTTTTAAAATGATCTGCTGCAGTCATACAAATATCACCTGATAAATTAGCAAAAAAGAGTTTATAGACACAACTTTTGTTTTAAGATGCATACAACTTATCTGAGTGTGATGACATAGTGGTAAAATGACACAATACTGAGAGGGGAGCTTTTAGACAGGAGGGACATATTTGTACCACAAGTTCTTGCATAATATGTCTCTTTTAAAGGGCCAAAATAAAAGGAAAGCAACATTATGGAAATACAAATAGTATTAGCTTTTTAAACCTCTCCTCACATTCTCATTAATTTGCAAATATTGTAAAATAAGATTGGTTTATTTGAATTTCTGTCCTGCGTCCTTCAGTGACTACATTTCCTTGTAAATGCTATAATCATAGACATCTTTAAATTCCTGCAACTAAGGAGCCACTTTTCTCCTTCCAAACAATAGTCACTTAATTTTCCTGCGATTTAAATGTTTGGAAGTCTTTCAACAGCAATGAAAGAAAGAAAGGAAATGATAACAGCTGAAGATCTCATTTTACATGCTAATGTTGCCTGTCTGAAAAAATAATCATAGAAATAAATATATAATGAAATAAGTAATCTTTAGTAAGTAATCTTTATTTATATACCGCCTTTTCAACTGCAGCATCTGAGTCCCTCATAGCGGTTTACAATTGCTATCCTCATTGTGGTATTTGTTGATTATAACTTCAAGAAGAATATGAAAACATAGATCCTATGAATCTATGCTTATTGAATGTCATAATAAGAATTACATATGCATATACATAATAAGCATATAATAACAAATCTAAAATGTATACAAGTATTGACTCACCAGATCTGCCTTATACAGAGAGCTCTTGTTAATCCCCAGACATAGCGGTTTACAATTGCTGTAGGCCCGACTCGAGCCTCCCGTTTCCCCTGCACTACAAAAGATACGGATAAATAACACCAACAATTTAAGTGGGGTGACAAAGGAAGAGAAGTAGTTTGAGTCCTTGTGAGAATTACAGACGATGTTGTATACGTAGCAAGGGTGTTAGGGGATGAAAAAAGTACACAAGTGAATTATTGAACACAGAACAATTGAATGCAGGAAAGGAACTTTAACATGGGCACATTAAATACGTAAACTGGGGCATTCGACACGGACCACATAAAAACGTTTACAAAATCAGGCAAAATCCACACACAGAAACAGAGACACACACACGAGTACACTAACTACACATGCAGAGAGAAGCTACAGATGCATGCAGTGAAGAGCTCAATTATACAGTGACAAGAAAAAAACAATGGAGACAACATCCAACACAAAGCTTTTACCTTTAAATACAAAACATGCTTTTACAGTCAGATGTTAAAGACTCACCATTATAAATTAATACCCTCCATCACCTCCTCCATCACCTCCATCACCTCCTCATCACCTCCGCCATCACCTCCTCATCACCTCCTCCATCAACTCCTCCATCACCTCCTCATCACCTCCTCATCACCTCCTCCATCAACTCCTCCATCACCTCCTCATCTCCTCCTCCATCACCTCCGCCATCACCTCCTCATCACCTCCGCCATCACCTCCATCACCTCCGCCATCACCTCCTCCATCAACTCCTCCATCACCTCCTCATCACCTCCTCCATCACATCCATCACCTCCTCCATCACCTCCGCCATCACCTCCATCACCTCCTCATCACCTCCGCCATCACCTCCCATCACCTCCTCATCACCTCCTCCATCAACTCCTCCATCACCTCCTCATCACCTCCTCCATCAACTCCTCCATCACCTCCTCATCACCTCCATCACCTCCTCCATCACCTCCGCCATCACCTCCTCATCACCTCCTCCATCACCTCCTCCATCAACTCCTCCATCACCTCCTCCATCACCTCCTCCATCATCTCCTCCATCACCACCTCCATCACCTCCTTCATCACCTCCTCCATCACCTCCTCATCACCTCCTCCATCAACTCCTCCATCACCTCCTCATCACCTCCATCAACTCCTCCATCACCTCCTCCATCACCTCCTCCATCACCTCCTCCATCACCTCCTCCATCATCTCCTCCATCACTTCCTCATCACCTCCTCCATCACCTCCTCTTCACCTCCTCCATCACCTCCTCCATCACCTTCATCATCACCTCCTCCATCACCTCCTCATCACCTCCTCCATCAACTCCTCCATCAACTCCTCCATCACCTCCTCATCACCTCCTCCATCAACTCCTCCATCCCCTCCTCCATCACCTCCTCATCACCATCTTCATCACCTCCTCCATCATCTCCTCCATCACCTCCTCCATCACCTCCTCCATCAACTCCTCCATCACCTCCTCCATACTCCTCCATCACCTCCTCCATCACCTCCTCATCACCTCCTCCATCACCTCCTCCATCAACTCCTCCATCATCTCCTCATCACCTCCATCAACTCCTCCATCACCTCCTCCATCACCTCCTCATCACCATCTCCATCACCTCCTCCATCACCTCCTCCATCATCTCCTCCATCACCTCCTCATCACCTCCTCCATCACCTCTTCCATCTCCTCCATCACCTCCTCCATCACCTCCTCATCACCTCCATCAACTCCTCCATCACCTCCTCCATCACCTCCTCCATCACCTCCTCCATCAACTCCTCCATCACCTCCTCATCACCTCCATCACCTCCTCCATCACCTCCTCCATCACCATCTCCATCACCTCCTCCATCACCTCCTCTATCACCTCCTCATCAACTCCTCCATCACCTCCTCATCACCTCCATCAACTCCTCCATCACCTCCTCCATCACCTCCTCCATCACCTCCTCATCACCATCTCCAACTCCTCCTCCATCACCTCCTCATCACCATCTCCATCACCTCCTCCATCATCTCCTCCATCACCTCCTCCACCACCTCCTCCATCACCTCCTCCATCAACTCCTCCATCATCTCATCACCTCCATCAACTCCTCCATCACCTCCTCCATCACCTCCTCATCACCTCCTCCATCAACTCCTCATCACCTCCTCCATCACCTCCTCCATCAACTTCTCCATCACCTCCTCATCACCTCCATCAACTCCTCCATCACCTCCTCCATCACCATCTCCATCACCTCCTCCATCACCTCCTCCATCACCTCCTCTATCACCTCCTCATCAACTCCTCCATCACCTCCTCATCACCTCCATCAACTCCTCCATCACCTCCTCCATCATCTCCTCCATCACCTCCTTCATCACCTCCTCATCACCATCTCCAACTCCTCCTCCATCACCTCCTCATCACCATCTCCATCACCTCCTCCATCACCTCCTCCATCACCTCCTCCATCAACTCCTCCATCATCTCATCACCTCCATCAACTCCTCCATCACCTCCTCCATCACCTCCTCATCTCCATCACCTCCTCCATCATCTCCTCCATCACCTCCTCATCACCTCCTCCATCACCTCTTCCATCATCTCCTCCATCACCTCCTCCATCACCTCCCCCATCACCTCCTCATCACCTCCTCATCACCTCCATCAACTCCTCCATCACCTCCTCCATCACCTCCTCCATCAACTCCTCATCACCTCCATCAACTCCTCCATCACCTCCTTCATCACCTCCTCATCACCTCCATCAACTCCTCCATCACCTCCTCCATCACCTCCTCCATCAACTCCTCCATCACCTCCTCCATCACCTCTTCCATCACCTCCTCCATCACCTCCTCCATCACCTCCCCCATCACCTCCTCATCACCTCCATCACCTCCTCCATCACCTCCTCCATCACCTCCTCCATCACCTCCTCCATCACCTCCCCCATCACCTCCTCATCACCTCCATCACCTCCTCCATCACCTCCTCCATCACCTCCTCCATCAACTCCTCATCACCTCCATCACCTCCTCCATCACCTCCTCCATCACCTCCTCCATCAACTCCTCCATCACCTCCTCTATCACCTCCTCCATCACCTCCTCCATCACCTCCTCATCACCATCTCCATCACGTCCTCCATCACGTCCTCCATCACCTGCTCCATCACCTCCTCCATCACCTCCTCATCACCTCCTCATCACCATCTCCATCACCTCCTCCATCACGTCCTCCATCACCTGCTCCATCACCTCCTCATCACCTCCTCCATCAACTCCTCCATCACCTCCTCCATCACCTCCGCCATCACCTCCATCACCTCCTCATCACCTCCTCCATCAACTCCTCTATCACCTCCTCCATCACCTCCTCCATCACCTCCTCATCACCATCTCCATCACCTCCTCCACCTCCATCACCTCCTCCATCACCTCCATCACCTCCGCCATCACCTCCTCATCACCTCCTCCATCACCTCCATCACCCATCATCCTCCATCACCTCCTCCATCACCTCCTCCATCATCTCCTCCATCACCTCCTCATCACCATCTCCATCAACTCCTCCATCGCCTTCTCATCACCTCCATCAACTCCTCCATCACCTCCTCCATCAACTCCTCCATCACCTCCTCCATCACCTCCTCATCACCATCTCCAACTCCTCCTCCATCACCTCCTCATCACCATCTCCATCACCTCCTCCATCATCTCCTCCATAACCTCCTCCACCACCTCCTCCATCACCTCCTCCATCAACTCCTCCATCATCTCATCACCTCCATCAACTCCTCCATCACCTCCTCCATCACCTCATCATCACCTCCTCCATCAACTCCTCATCACCTCCTCCATCAACTCCTCCATCACCTCCTCATCACCTCCATCAACTCCTCCATCACCTCCTCCATCACCATCTCCATCACCTCCTCCATCACCTCCTCTATCACCTCCTCATCAACTCCTCCATCACCTCCATCAACTCCTCCATCACCTCCTCCATCATCTCCTCCATCACCTCCTCCATCACCTCCTCATCACCATCTCCAACTCCTCCTCATCATCATCTCCATCACCTCCTCCATCACCTCCTCCATCACCTCCTCCATCAACTCCTCCATCATCTCATCACCTCCATCAACTCCTCCATCACCTCCTCCATCACCTCCTCATCACCATCTTCATCACCTCCTCCATCATCTCCGCCATCACCTCCTCCATCAACTCCTCCATCACCTCCTCTATCACCTCCTCCATCACCTCCTCCATCACCTCCTCATCACCATCTCCATCACGTCCTCCATCACGTCCTCCATCACCTGCTCCATCACCTCCTCCATCACCTCCTCATCACCTCCTCATCACCATCTCCATCACCTCCTCCATCACGTCCTCCATCACCTGCTCCATCACCTCCTCATCACCTCCTCCATCAACTCCTCCATCACCTCCTCCATCACCTCCGCCATCACCTCCATCACCTCCTCATCACCTCCTCCATCAACTCCTCTATCACCTCCTCCATCACCTCCTCCATCACCTCCTCATCACCATCTCCATCACCTCCTCCATCACCTCCTCCATCACCTCCATCACCTCCGCCATCACCTCCTCATCACCTCCTCCATCACCTCCATCACCTCATCACCTCCTCCATCACCTCCTCCATCACCTCCTCCATCATCTCCTCCATCACCTCCTCATCACCATCTCCATCAACTCCTCCATCGCCTTCTCATCACCTCCATCAACTCCTCCATCACCTCCTCCATCAACTCCTCCATCACCTCCTCCATCACCTCCTCATCACCATCTCCAACTCCTCCTCCATCACCTCCTCATCACCATCTCCATCACCTCCTCCATCATCTCCTCCATAACCTCCTCCACCACCTCCTCCATCACCTCCTCCATCAACTCCTCCATCATCTCATCACCTCCATCAACTCCTCCATCACCTCCTCCATCACCTCATCATCACCTCCTCCATCAACTCCTCATCACCTCCTCCATCAACTCCTCCATCACCTCCTCATCACCTCCATCAACTCCTCCATCACCTCCTCCATCACCATCTCACCATCTCCATCACCTCCTCCATCACCTCCTCTATCACCTCCTCATCAACTCCTCCATCACCTCCTCATCACCTCCATCAACTCCTCCATCACCTCCTCCATCATCTCCTCCATCACCTCCTCCATCACCTCCTCATCACCATCTCCAACTCCTCCTCCATCACCTCCTCATCATCATCTCCATCACCTCCTCCATCACCTCCTCCATCACCTCCTCCATCATCTCATCACCTCCATCAACTCCTCCATCACCTCCTCCATCACCTCCTCATCTCTTCATCACCTCCTCCATCATCTCCTCCATCACCTCCTCATCACCTCCTCCATCACCTCTTCCATCACCTCCTCCATCACCTCCTCCATCACCTCCCCCATCACCTCCTCATCACCTCCTCAACACCTCCATCAACTCCTCCATCACCTCCTCCATCAACTCCTCATCACCTCCATCAACTCCTCCATCACCTCCTCCATCACCTCCTCATCACCTCCATCAACTCCTCCATCACCTCCTCCATCACCTCCTGATCACCTCCATCACCTCCTCCATCACCTCCTCCATCAACTCCTCCATCACCTCCTCTATCACCTCCTCATCACCTCCATCACCTCCTCATCACCTCCTCATCACCTCCTCATCACCATCTCCATCACCTCCTCTATCACCTCCTCATCACCTCCATCACCTCCTCATCACCATCTCCATCACGTCCTCCTTCACGTCCTCCATCACCTGCTCCATCACCTCCTCCATCACCTCCTCATCACCTCCTCATCACCATCTCCATCACCTCCTCCATCACGTCCTCCATCACCTGCTCCATCACCTCCATAACCTCCTCCATCAACTCCTCCATCACCTCCTCCATCACCTCCGCCATCACCTCCTCATCACCTCCTCCATCACCTCCTCTATCACCTCCTCCATCACCTGTTGTAGAATTACATACCCCAAAGCAAGGAGAAAGCCCAAAAGTATTTGTCTTAAATCAGGAGCGTAAGTTTATTGTAACACACGTGCGGAGAGCTAGCATATCCAAAAGGCAGCATACCCAGCTCTGGCTCGCAGAGCTCAGGCTTCCTGTTTACATAGACATCACATGAAAGACAGTCACGCCCACAACAGATGGGAGGGGGCCACCGGTGAAGGAGGCGCATAGGGAGCGCAGGCGCCATGCCCCTGTGGTGAGGCAATCAGACACAGGGCATGGAGGTGCGAACAGACAGACAATGGTAGAAATGCAAGCATACAGATGCGAGATGCGAAAGACACAAGGGTGTGACAGACAGCAGGGACCTTCACAAAGCTCAGCATGGCGTCAGAAGGTCGTCTCTGCATTGAAAAGGCCTTTTACGTCCGTGTATTTGCTGCGGCTGGTTTTAATGTGATTACTCTAAAAACTGTCATTACACACCTCCTCATCACCATCTCCATCACCTCCTCCATCACCTCCATCACCTCCTCCATCACCTCCATCACCTCCGCCATCACCTCCTCATCACCTCCTCCATCACCTTCATCACCTCCTCATCACCTCCTCCATCAACTCCTCCATCACCTCCTCCATCACCTCCTCCATCATCTCCTCCATCACCTCCTCATCACCATCTCCATCAACTCCTCCATCGCCTTCTCATCACCTCCATCAACTCCTCCATCACCTCCTCCATCAACTCCTCCATCACCTCCTCCATCACCTCCTCATCACCATCTCCAACACCTCCTCCATCATCTCCTCCATCACCTCCTCCATCACCTCCATCACCTCCTCCATCACCTCCTCCATCACCTCCTCTATCGCCCTCTCCATCAACTCCTCCATCACCTCCTCATCACCGTCTCCATCACCATCTCCATCACCTCCTCCATCAACATGGACTCCACTTCACCCACAGGTTTTACGTCAGCCCTTCAGCTTTGTCTGGAGGAGATAAAGGCATGGATGGACAACAATTCTCTTCAACTTAACAGTGGTAAAACTGATGCAATCCTCTTTGGCACCCCCCACCAAACCCAGTCCTCCCCTCTCAGTAGTGTTTCAATTTTTGGCCATAACATCCCCCTGTCCACATCTGTTAATAACCTTGGAGTCAGGCTCGACTCTAATTTTACATTTGATACCCACATCCGCCACCTCTGTAAAGTCTCCTTCCTTCACCTCAAAAACATTGCCAGACTCCGCTCCTCCCTCTCACAACCGGACGCTGAGAAGCTGATCCATGCCTTTGTCTCCTCCAGGTTGGATTACTGCAATGCCCTCCTCGTCGGGACCTCTGCAAAGGGTCTGCAAAAACTCCAGTACATCCAGAACTGTGCTGCCCGGGTCCTGACGAGGAGGCGCAAATATGACCATATCACACCCGTCTTTAAATCACTCCACTGGCTGCCCATCAAACACAGAATACAGTACAAACTCTGCCTCCTCACATATCAATGCACACACGGAACTGCCCCTGCCTACCTCAGTGAACTCCTAACACCACACACCGCCTCTCGAAGTCTCCGTTCAACCACCTCCTCCCACTGCCTGCACCAACCCAGGACCAAACTCTCCACCATGGGAGATAGGGCCTTTCAGGCAGTAGCCCCCCGGCTCTGGAATGCCCTCCCAGAAACCCTCAGGGCCCCACAAAGTGTGGAGGCTTTTAAGAAAGGCCTAAAGACATTCCTATTCAAACAGGCCTTCTAGATATGTACAGTAATTATGTTTTATTTTATTTTATTTTTTCCTGATGTTATATTTGATGTATTGTTTTTATGTTGTGTATCTTGGGGATGTTCCCTGTTTTTGTAGCACTCTGAGGTTTCCCTGAAATGTAAAGTGCATTATAAATAAAATCTATTATTATTATTATTATAACTCCTCCATTACCTCCTCATCACCTCCTCCATCACCTCCTCATCTCCTCCATCACCTCCTCCATCACCATCTCATCACCTCCTCCATCACCTCCTCATCAACTCCTCCATCACCTCCTCATCACCTCCTCCATCACCTCCTCCATCACCTACTCATCCCAGCCGACCCCTCTCACCTGCACATGGACTATTCCAACCACTCCCTTCTCACCTGCACATGGACTATTCCAACCACTCCCTTCTCACCTGCACATGGACTATTCCAACCTCTCCCTTATCACCTGCACATGGACTATTCCAACCTCTCCCTTATCACCTGCACATGGACTATTCCAACCACTCCCTTCTCACCTGCACATGGACTATTCCAACCTCTCCCTTATCACCTGCACATGGACTATTCCAACCACTCCCTTCTCACCTGCACATGGACTATTCCAACCACTCCCTTCTCACCTGCACATGGACTATTCCAACCTCTCCCTTATCACCTGCACATGGACTATTCCAACCTCTCCCTTATCACCTGCACATGGACTATTCCAACCACTCCCTTCTCACCTGCACATGGACTATTCCAACCTCTCCTTTATCACCTGCACATGGACTATTCCAACCACTCCCCTCTCACCTGCACATGGACTATTCCAACCACTCCCCTCTCACCTGCACATGGACCAGAAGTCAGACAGGCCGGGGATCGGTAAAAGTTTTTGTCTCCGCATTTGAAACTTTAGCTTTTTTCTCATCTTCTCTTCTTGTCAGTGAGAACCAGGAACATTTGACTGGAGTTTATTTCAACTAATGTGTTTGTTGTGGAAATTCTGCACATAACGAGAGTAAAATAATGTAAACAACTCAGAGCTGTAATTCCAAACAAAGTGTGAGTTTATTCATTAGTAAATGTGCACAATTACAATGAATAACAGAACCGATACCAATACCACCGGGCAGCCGTCCGAAATCGACTGCCCCGATTGAGGAAATGACTGTACATTAAATAGACCAGAGTAAACAAACACATATCTACTCTAGATATTACATAAATGAAGTCAACATTGATATGTGTTGCTCAAGGCTTCTCTTTACGCGTCCTAACGCTGATACAACTCTGATATATGTAACAATCTGCTTTTGAACTGAACATATTGTTCTATGACCCAGGTCAAAGACATGATGCAGCACGTCTCCATCTATCACTGACCCGCTGCCAACAGAGCACTATGGCCTGTATCTGAATCCAGAGTTCACTGTTAGTTAATAACTTACACTCAGAACTATTTGGTGTTCATTCAGGTTGCTTTACTAAAATATTTCTATAACAATCCTATCTCTTGATAAATATAAAACCTTGGTTTATTTTAATCAACTTAAAATAATAATAGAAATCACAATGATTATGAATTAACATAAAATAGTGAACATTTGAGCCAACACACACAATAGTAAGCTAACTTTATTACAATATTAAAACCCACACTTATATACTTGCTTAGATGAATCACCTGACTGGGTCACAGACGTCTGCCCAGGGGAGACGAGGCGTTACTGGACCCGATGGGTCATCAGCCGACCCTCACCTCTCCCAGAATCGACGCTGTGCCCACACAGTAGACACTCCAGCAGTGCTGGGTGCACACTCCAATGTGGATTTAAAATAGACCTGGTCCAAAGATGGTTCCAAGTCCAAGCCAATCTATTGGGTCTAATGCTTTGTCATTAGATCTGTAACACTTAACCTTAAAAATGGATGCCTCACACTTTTCTGACCTCCTGTGCTTTCCACATGGGGTCAGAGTGGGTGGAAGCATCAGAGTTAGTGCACTGATTATCAATGCTTGAAAACCCTAGCATGTATGTGTACCACAAACCAATGCTAAGTTGTGCTAATCCTGAAACGTACACAGAACAGTTTCAAAAGCCCATTTTGACACAATGCTGAGATAGCCTCTCTCAGTCCGCCCCCTTCTTCGGGGTGGGCGTCCCGGCCTCCAGGTCAGACCAGCCGATTGTCCCAGTCTCTGACTCCGCTTCGTGAAAAAGCGGGGAACAATATACCTGACCCATGGCTCAGAGCTTCTATCTGTGTAACACCTGGTCAGAAGGCAGACCAAGTTTTGTCGTGGGGACCCTCAAGGTCCCTCCCGCCGTTGGGGAGCAAGCCTCCACTTCTGCGTTGGAAGTCGGGCACTGCCCCCCCCACTTCTTTGCTGCATCCTTGCGTTGCAGAAAGTCCCCAGACCCTTCTCGTTGGTCCCCTTTGGCTCTGGGCAGCTGGGGTCCACCTGCGGTGGGCTGGACCCATGATGGGGCGTCGACCCTCGCGGTGGGGTGCCCCCGGCACTTTTGGTTAGGGCCCCTCCTGGCATTTGCCGGACTCAGACCCCTCCTCTTGCTCGACCCTCGTGGTCAAGGCGTGATGGCGCTCTGTGTCTCCCTCTTGGAGATGTGATCCCTCCTCATGGAGGGGTTGGTCATGTTTCTGAAACAATGTTTTGGCAAAAGGGTTATTTGTCCCCTCCCTAGCCTGTCCTCTGGGTCTGCGCTGCCAGGGCTTAGCCTCAGTCTATATTATAATAATAATAATGGTCTCCATATAACTTTACTCATGGATTATCAGTTTGAGTTTCCAAAACACTCCTCTCCGGCCTTGGAGAGCAGATAAGTGCATTCTGCTGCTGTCTGCTCTCCTCTGTGTGCAAGTCAGGCCTCACTAACTAATTATTCTCTTATGGTAAAACAACAACCTATATCCTAAAGATCAAATAAACTTAAGTGTTTTGATGATTGTTTATCAAGATGAAAACTCATGGAGACCTTTTTTTTTTTTTTAACTAAATATTTAAATTGAAAAGGAGATACGATCAACTTAGGGCCTGTCCTCTTATGGTGCAGTGCAGGTGTCCAAACACCAGGCCTGTGGGCCAATTGTGGTCCGCCAGACATTTTAGTGTCTTCTGAAATGATTCTCAAATATAATTAAGTATTAACTGGCAGTCTTAATTGCAAGGTTAATTTGAACCCAAAGGCATTATTCCTAATTTTTTTAACTCCCGCTGGAAAATTACCATATATCTTCTAACGTGTTGGAAAAAACACCTGAATTGTTAACTAACAACAAACTAACTAACAAAAAACTAACTAAACTAACAAACTTTGTTAAATCTATTAAACTATTCTAAATACCTTCATAATGTTAAATAAAAATGTGTATCCACAAAATGAGAAGATTCAACACTTTATTACTTTTGGCCTTTGTGTTTGTTTTGTCTGTCTCTGTCAGACCTCTGCTCTTATCACCCTCAAGAGTCACAGCATTACAGAGCTTTGGGAAACTCTGAATAATATCCTAATACTCAAAGCGATACTATGCACTTGAATTTAAACAAAAAAATATTAACAAGTTAAAGTTTTTTTAAAAACTACACTAACCACCTGGTGTACAGTGCCTTGCGAAAGTATTCGGCCCCCTTGAACCTTTCAACATTTCGCCACATTTCATGTGATTCATTTTGTCATGAATCAACAACAAGTGGGACACAATCGTGAAGTGGAACGAAATTTATTGGATAAATTTAACTTTTTTAACAAATAAAACACTGAAAAGTGGGGCGTGCAATATTATTGGGCCCCTTTACTTTCAGTGCAGCAAACTCAGTCCAGAAGTTCAGTGAGGATCTTTGAATGATCCAATGTTGTCCTAAATGACTGATGATGATAAATAGAATGCACCTGTGTGTAATCAAGTCTCCGTATAAATGCACCTGCTCTTTGATAGTCTCAGGGTTCTGTTTAAAGCACAGAGAGAACCATGAAGACAAAGGAACACACCAGGCAGGTCCGAGATACTGTTGTGGAGAAGTTTAAAGCTGGATTTGGATACAAAAAGATTTCCCAAGATTTAAACATCTCAAGGAGCACTGTGCAAGCATCCATCCATCCATCCATCCATTTTCTTCCCTTTAATCCATTTCTGGGTCAGGGGGGTGGCAGTCAGAGATGCCACCCAAGTCTCATAGCACCAGCCCCTCACTGACCCTCTGCAGGTGGTGAGTCCACAGGAGGACGGCTGCTCTCTGAGTGTGAGCATAGCCTTGATCTTTCAGTGGGGGCTTTGGGCAAAGTGGGGTTAAGTGTCTTGCCCAAGGACACAACGACAGCAGTCATCAGTGGGAGTCGGTGGAGAAGGTGCAGAGGTGGGAATTGAACCCACGACCTTCTGGCCTTAAGGCCAATGCTCTACCAACTGAGCTACTGTGCAAGCAATTATATTGAAATGGAAGGAGTATCAGACCACTGCAAATCTACCAAGACCCGGCCGTCCCTCCAAACTTTCATCTCAAACAAGGAGAAGACTGATCAGAGATGCAGCCAAGAGGCCCATGATCACTCTGGATGAACTGCAAATTTAGTTTTAGTCTCGGCTGTGGAAAACAACTGGGCAATTTGAAAAACACAGAAACTCTGTTTAACTCACAACCTTCAGATTATTCAGAACATTTCAATGGATTTATGAAAAATTCCTTTGTCATGTTTCGCCTCTAAAGAAAAGAATGTGTCCTTCACCCATTCGGGGAAATCATGTAATAAATAAAGTCCTTAATCAAGGAGTATGTGGCCCACGGAATTGATTAAAGTAACCTATCCCCCACTCTATTTTCTTTTTTTTTTTTCTGACAATAGGGTTTGTCAAGCTACTCTAAACTTTAGAATAGTCTAAATTTGTGCATACGTCAATGATCAAATCCATCCCCAAATGAGTGCTTGTGTTTGTGTTGTCCTGACTTCTGGACATGTGTAGATGTGTGTTTGAGTCATGTTTTGTTTACGATACCCGGACCATGGTCTGCCTCGTCCAGATCGTCCGTGGGACCCTCCCAGACCCTCGTCCTCCAGTCAGTCAGTCCCATATCGTTCATGCTGGTTCCTGTGGAACTGTCCGGAAACATGGTGGGCCTGGGGCCATTTTGTCAGAACCAGTTGTTGCTTTGTCTCTGTCCACTCTTTGACTGCTGCTGTGGGCGGGGCTTCCCTTGTCAGTGGGAAAGTTTCTTGTGAACTGCCCTATCTC